GAAGTGTCCTGGTTAGGCTGTGTCCTGGCCTCCAAGGGGCCCTGCGAAGGACAGGGTGACCAGCGGCCGGAAGGACTTGTGCGTCCACGCGCTGCCCTGGGGCCACAGCTCCTGCCGGAAGAGGTTTTATTTACCTAACAGCGAAGACTAATAGGTTTCTAGTGGTGTCAAAAGAAAGCATCTTGACGCCCTGAGGGTGTCTGGGCGGGAACCGGACAAAACCGGCAGAATCCGGCAGCCCCAGGAATCCTTAGGAATCCTTAGGAATCCTTAGGCCACATTTTGAATGCCCGGAGCCAGCTGTAGGCCACGTCGTGTTCCTCGTGTTCCCAGAACACCATTCCCAGGCCACATTTGGAATGCCCGGAGCCAACTGTAGGCCACTGTGTGTTCTTCGTGTTCCCAGAACACCATTCCCAGGCCACATTTTGAATGCCCGGAGCCAACTGTAGGCCACTTTGTGTTCTTCGTGTCCCAGAACACCATTCCCATGCCACATTTTGAATGCCCGGAGCCAACTGTAGGCCACTTCGTGTTCTTCGTGTTCCCAGAACACCAATCCTGTGCAATATTTTGAATGCCCGAGCTGAGGCAGGCTGAGGCCGAGGCAGGCTGAGGCCGAGACAGGCTGAGGCCGAGGCAGGCTGAAGCTGAGGCTGAGGCACGCCGAGGCAGGCTGAGGCTGAGGCTGAGGCAGGCTGAGGCTGAGGCAGGCTGAGGCTGAGGCTGACGCAGGCTGAGGCCGAGGCAGGCTGAGACTGAGGCTGAGGCAGGCTGAGGCTGAGGCAGGCTGAGACTGAGGCTGAGCCAGGCTGAGGCTGAGGCTGAGGCTGATGCAGGCTGAGGCTGAGAGGCTGACGCTGACGCTGAGGCAGGCTGAGGCTGAGGCTGAGGCCGAGGCAGGTTGAGGCTGAGGCTGAGGCAAGCCAAAGGCTGAGGCTGAGGCTGAAGCTGAGGCAGGCTGAGGCTGAGGCTGAGGCTGAGGCTGAGGCGGCCGAGGCAGGCTGAGGCCGAGGCAGGCTGAGGCTGAGGCTGAGGCAAGCCGATGAAGGCTGAGGCTGAGGCTGAGGCAGGCTGAGGCTGAGGCAGGCTGAGGCTGAGGCTGACGCAGGCTGAGGCCGAGGCAGGCTGAGGCTGAGGCTGACGCAGGCTGAGGCCGAGGGGCTGAGGCTGAGGCTGAGGCAGGCTGAGGCTGAGGCTGAGGCAGGCTGAGGCTGAGAGGCCGACGCTGAGTCTGAGGCAGGCTGAGGCTGAGGCTGAGGCCGAGCAGCTGAGGCTGAGGCCAAGCCGAGGCAGGGCTGAGGCTGAAGCTGAGGCAGGCTGAGGCTGAGGCTGAGGCTGTGGCTGAGGCTGAGGAGGCAGGCTGAGGCCGAGGCAGGCTGAGGCTGAGGCTGAGCTGAGGAGGCTGAGGCAGGCTGAGGCTGAGGCTGAGGCTGAGGCTGCAGGCTGAGGCTGAGAGGCTGACGCTGAGGCTGAGGCAGGCTGAGGCTGAGGCAGGCTGAGGCTGAGGCTGAGGCTGAGGGCTGAGGCTGAGGCCGAGGCAAGCCGAGGCAGGCTGAGGCTGAGAGGCTGACGCTGAGGCTGAGGCAGGCTGAGGCTGAGGCCGAGGCTGAGGCAGGCTGAGGCTGAGGCAGGCTGAGGCTGAGGCCGAGGCAGGCTGAGGCCGAGACAGGCTGAGGCTGAGACTGAGGCTGAGGCTAAGGATGAGGCCGATGCAGGCCGAAGCTGAGACAAGGTGAATAGTAAGGGGAATGCTTCCAGATATGCTTATACACATCGCTGTCAAGTTGCTTTGCCGGGATATTTTTTTTTTGTTGCACCGATCCGGCCGGCCTTCCCGTGTAGCCACGGCCAGACTCGCCTCGACATCTCACCAGCACGCCCCGGAGAGGCCCAGGGGCGATCGGCATCCGCACCTCGCCCCCCTGTCCTGGCCCCAGAAGTCGTGGACCAGCAGGTGCCACAGGGGCGCGTCGGCCCTCACGTCGGCGTTCCGGACGATCGCGAACAGCTCGTCGATGTACCAGTCCGTGTAGAGCGCGCACGCGTAGAAGGGAGCGGTGAGGAGCAGGACGAGGGCGGCATCCAGGGCGGCCCCGCCAGGGCGGGAGGCCATGGCTCCCCCATTGCCCGCAAGAGGGGGGGAGGAGAGGGGGAGGAGCGGGGAGAGGGGAGGCCGGCCCAAAAGGGGCTGCGGTCGCACACGTGTTCGCACACCCGCGAGCGCGCGTGCAGAGCTCAGAATGAATGCTGGCGTCTCGGAGGTGCCTCGAGACTACGGGTTGACACATGGCAGGGGTAATGAAAGGATGAAGCGACCATAGAAGCATGGGCAATCTCGTAATCATCGCTCAGCGGCAAATGAACATCGAGGCTTGAGCAGCAGCAGCAGCAGCAGCGAACACAACGGCTGAAAGACAACGGTGTGCAACATACTTCAATTATTATCTTGTGTCATACAGCGAACGCTTAGATATGCATGGTCACATACAGCTGCATGCTCGCCGCCACTGACGGGCATCGACATCATTGGCTCCGCCTGCGCTTCGGCAACCCAATGCATCCACACTGTAATCCGACATCTGCCGGCACCTCCCTCCCATACTTCTAATTACTACCCTTTTTCGAACGGTCTGCAACCTACCGTTATGGGCAATCACCCTTCCTCTGTAACTTAACGGCATGAGTATTGAACCACTCCTTCTGTCTCTCTTTCCCGTCCTTGAAATTGGTCCCGCTTCTTTCCTCTGCTCGTCATCGTCGGTCGGTCTCTCCAACCAATCCTCAGAGAACACACGGCCCATCGGTCAGTCCCCAATGGACGAAACGACGCAGGTCCGCTTAGGAAGTCGCCCCACCCCCGGAGGCACACCAATTGCCAATCCTGGGCAGTACGGTCCGTCCTGATCTCTAACACTCCTGAGATTGGTCGTCCCTCTTGCCGGTGGAGGCACAATGCGCACAGCACGCTGGAGGCGAACAATCGCCCTCTTCCGCTCGTGGTGCGTGCGCCACATCCTCTGGATGAGCAGCGCGTTGGTCAGCCTGAGGTGCAATCCACTCCAAAACGGCCAAATGATCACATGACCGGTGGGACGTCCAAATGCAGAGCGGTGAATCTCGTCGGGATGGCGAGCCGTTCTCTTCCTGTCCCCGGTTTCGCCCCGCTCGGCACCATATTTCGCAGGCGATCCACACCCTCGGCCATGAGGCCTGATCTCCCGTAGATGCTCTGGACAATTGAACAGAAGAGCAGCTCAGAAGGGGGGAAGAGTCGAGTATCCTCAGAATGCGTGTTTTAGTCGGGACGTTGACCTAAGGAACCATAAATAAGGAGCGAGGCCCCTTTTTTCCATAAGTTAGCCTTCGACTTCGAATCGAAAACCTAAGGAAAGCCTGAGGCAAGCTGTGAAACACTTAAGGAACGCGGAGCCCCTCCCCAACGAACAGGGTTCCTTCTTCAAGACCCCTAATTACTGTAGATGCTCTGGACAATTGAACAGAAGAGCAGCTCAGAAGGGGGAAAAGTCGACTATCCTCAGAATGCGGAAGACGATGAGGAGGGGGAGGGGGGGGAGGAGGGGGAGGGGGAGGAGGACGAGGAAGAGGAAGAGGAGGAGGAGGAGGAGGAGGAGGAGAAGGCGTATTAGGAGGCGGAGGCGGAGGTGTTAGTGCAAGCGTGTGCTTTTCCACCGAGGCCCCCTGGACGCGACGCAGGCGGTGTAACGAGGGGCGGCGCGAGCGGCGTGCTGCCGGCGGAGCGGAGCGTGAGGAGCACCGATTGGTCTGAGGCATGCCCGGGCGGCGAGTGCGGTGGAGAGTCTGGGCCGGAGGAGCTGCGGCCAGGAATTAGGGAAAAAACAAACCTACCTCGCTTTTGACCACCCTCGCTTCCAAGAGATACCAAGCGATGCCAAATTGCAGCCTGTACTGGTCAGGCCGCTTGACGAGGAGGCGCGTGGTATGGCTTGGTTTTTCCTGGAACTGGCAGCGGGGTAGGCAATTCACGCTCTGAGTCTGGGCCGGAGGAGCTGCGGCCAGGAATGGCCCACGGGGGGGGCGGGGGGCACGGGCATGGAGGAGAGGAGGAACATGAAGATTCGTGGCGGGCTCCAGAAACCCAAGAATCCCAAAAATGCCGTCGCCTCCTCGGGGCACATCCTTTGCTTCCGCAGCCTGCCGCCCGCTCGCTAGCCTCGTTTCCCTTCCGCCCTTCGGCCGCCCTCCGATCCCTTCGATCCTCGAAGGTGACCCCTTCGATCCCTTCGATCCTCAAAGGAACAGATGGCGACCCCTTCGATCCTCCAAGGCGAGGCCCTTCCTGCAACGCCTCACCTGGAGACCCGCGGAGAGGCGAAACGGGGCTCCGAACGGAGGAGGAGGAGGATGAGGATGAGGAGGAGGAGGAGGAGGAGGAGGAGGAGAAGGGAGGAGAAGGGAGGAGAAGGGAGGAGGAGGAGGAGGAGGATGAGGACGAGGAGGAGGCAGAGGAGCGGCTAGAGGACGGGGAGCGGTGGGTCCCCGCCACCCTGGTTCCCGCGAGCGCCCCCGCCCTCTGCAATGGGGGAAGCACCAAACGCAACACCTCTGACAAAAAGGATGCCGAAAACAAGCCTTCTCCTTCTCCTTCTCCTCCTCCTCCTCCTCCTCATCTTCCTCCTCCTCCTCCTCCTCCCCCTCCTTCCCCTCCCCGCCTCCTCCTCCCCTCCTCCCCCTCCCCCTCCTCCTCCGCGTCCTCCTCCGCCTCCTCCTCCTCACCCTTCTCCTCCTCCTCCTGCCTCCAGGAGGAGAAAGAGTATGATGCTTCCATCGTACTTAAGGACCACATCCCAGAAATCATCTCGAGCACCCAGACAAGTATCGAAACGGTGTCGAACGAATGAAACACATCCCGGGGCCCGACATGGAACAATCCTCAAGTCTCGGTACTCTTTTGGTGATCGAACTTATTTCTGGTGATCACGGCTGAAGTAGGTTGGAACATCACAAGCCGAGGACACTTTTTCACACGCGCACTCGCAAGACATGGCCCCCCAGAACGCATTGGTTCCCCCGGCCTTGCAGGGTGGGCGCTGTTCTTCCCGAGTCGATCGCGCGGCAGCTCTGGATCTCCTAGGAGCTTCGGGGGCCTCCTCGGGCGACCTCGTCGCCGACAGGGTGTCCTGCGGCGGGAGCGTGGGCGACTGGAACAAGCCGGCCCGGACGAATTGGCGTGCTCTGCAGCCATCAGGGTACCACGATGAGTCATACGAAGGTACTCTGGGTTTCTTAATCATCGGGGGTCAAGCTCGCCTCGTCGTCGCGCCGCGACGGGGGTCGGAGCGCCTCCGGCGCGCGGTGGCTGCCCGCGACGGGGGTCGATGTGGGGCTGCTGGCGGGGGTGACGACCCCCCGACGCTCATTAAGACACTCCGAGTAGGGAGAGGGAGGAGGGATGGAGGAGGAAGAGGAGGAGGAGGAGGAGGAGGAGGAGGAGGAGGAGGAGGAGGAGGAGGCGGAGGAGGAGGAGGAGGATGAGGGATGGAGGAGGGGCCCACGGGCGGAGCGGCCAGCGGCCTGCGCAAGAGAGGGCGGAGGGTGCGCCGTGGCACACCGATGGAGGCGCGAGGAGGCCGACGCTGAGCAGAGCAACGATTTGGGCGCCCGAGTTATCCGGGGTGACTCGGGTCCGGGGTAACTCGGGTTCGGGTTCCCGAAAAAGGAGCCCGAGTTAGCCCTGACCCGAGTTACCCCTGATGATTCGGGGCTCTGGATGCCCGAATTATCCGGGGTAACTCGTGCCCGGGGTAACTCGGGTTCGGAATCCCGAAAAGCGAACCCGAGTTAGCCCTGACCCGAGTTACCCCAGATGATGCGGGGCTCTGAACGATGCTGCGCCGCCGCACTCTTGGCAGTCGCGGCGCGGATGCGGTCGACGCCACCCCTCCCCGAGAGGAGGGCAGCGCATGCAGGCGGAGGAGGCGAACGGAGGGCCAGAAGAATACGCCACAAAGCATGTGCGGGGCAACGATCGGGGGGGGGCAGCCTCGGAGGGAAAAGCACCAACCTGGAATCGGCGATACACCGCCGACAGATCGGCGATAGGCCCCCTGATAGCGACACCGCGCACTCCTGCGCCTGGAAGGCTATGAGGCTCCCATCGGCGATCGGCGGGCGATTGAGGGTCCATGCGTTGCTCCCAGAGCCTGTTCCGCCCCAACGTTGGCCCTGAGAAGCCTCCGCTGGCCGCTAACGCGCGCACCACGTGGGCCTCGCCCCCCCCGTGGCGCTGCCATCACAGCCTCCCTGTGCCTGTGGCGCCAAGCAGGTGCTCCGGTCCGCGCAGTAGCTCGAGAGAGAGCAAGCGCTGCAGCCTCCGTAACAGCACCGTCCCGGGGACGCAGTCGCAGGTGCAGGGGTTGGGCTCGGCGCTGGTGCTGGCGTTGGTGCAGGAGTGCTGGTGCCGACGTCTGGGCAGCGCAGCCCACCGTTTCTGGAAGCATCGGTCTCCCACTCGACAAAGCCTGTCACCAGCCAGCACTTGCGCGGCGCCCACCACTCGGGGGAGTTCGTAACCCACGCCACGCAAGTGTCGCATGACCCGCACAGAGCTTGACATTCACCGTCGGAGGACACAGCACTCCCAGAGTAGTCCGAAGAACCGCACGTGCCTGACCACGCCCCCGGGACGATATCCTGACCGTGTCGCACAGCACATGGATCTTGCGTAGGCACGGAAGCAGGAGTTGGCGCCGGCGTGGGCGTGGGCGACGGCGTCGGCGCAGGCGTGGGCGCTGGTGTCGGTGCCGGCGTTGGCGCAAGGGTCGGCACTGGCGTCGGGGAAGGAGTTGGCGTCGGCGTTGGCGTCGGCGCTGGCGTTGGCGCAGGCGTGGGCGATGGCGTGGGCGATGGCGTCGGCACAGACGTGGGCGCTGACGTCGGGGAAGGAGTTGGCGCAGGTGTGGGCGACAACGTGGGCGTTGGCGTCGGCGTTGGCGTCGGCGCTGGCGTTGGCGCAGGCGTGGGCGATGGCGTGGGCGATGGCGTCGGCGCAGACGTGGGCGATGACGTCGGGGAAGGTGTTGGTGCAGGTGTGGGCGACAACGTGGGCGTTGGCGTCGGCGTTGGCGTCGGTGCTGGCGTTGGCGCAGGCGTGGGCGATGGCGTTAGTACCGTCGTGGGAGCTGACGTCGGCGCAGGTGTTGGTGCAGCTGTGGTCGCAAGCGTGGGCGTTGCCGTCGGCACCTGCGTGGGAGCAGGTGTGGGCACGAGGGTCGGCGCAATTGTTGGTGCTGGTGTTGGAACGGGGGTCGGGCTTGGCGTCTGTGCTGGTGTTGGGGCGGGAGTTGTCGCGGGCGTCGGCGGCACAGCAGTAGGTGTAAGCGTACCGCTCGGACCGCACCAGACTCCCTCGCACGTCAGCGCACATAATGCCTCGTTGTTCTCGCATCCAGCATCGATGGCGGTCGCCGAATTGCACCACTCTTGCAAGAAGCCCCATGGGCAGCCGCATTCTTTGATGTAGCACTTGCCCACCTCAGGCAATGTTGAGTTACCTCCTGCGCTTGTCGGGGCAACCGTTGGCACCTGCGTAGGCGCGGGCGCCAGCGTCGGCGCGGGTGTGGGCTCGAAGGTCGGCGCATTTGTTGGTGCTGGTGTCGGAACCGGGGTCGGGCTTGGCGTCTGTGCTGGTGTTGGGGCGGGAGTTGTCGCGGGCGTCGGCGGCACAGCAGTAGGTGCAAGCGTACCGCTCGGACCGCACCAGACTCCCTCGCAAGTCAGCACGCATAAAGCCTCGTTGTTCTCGCATCCAGCATCGATGGCGGTCGCCGAATTGCACCACTCTTGCAAGAAGCTCCATGGGCAGCCGCATTCTTTGATGTAGCACTTGCCCACCTCAGGCAATGTTGAGTTACCTCCTGCGCTTGTCGGGGCAACCGTTGGCACCTGCGTAGGCGCGGGCGCCAGCGTCGGCGCGGGTGTGGGCTCGAAGGTCGGCGCATTTGTTGGTGCTGGTGTCGGAACCGGGGTCGGGCTTGGCGTCTGTGCTGGTGTTGGGGCGGGAGTTGTCGCGGGCGTCGGCGGCACAGCAGTAGGTGCAAGCGTACCGCTCGGACCGCACCAGACTCCCTCGCAAGTCAGCACGCATAAAGCCTCGTTGTTCTCGCATCCAGCATCGATGGCGGTCGCCGAATTGCACCACTCTTGCAAGAAGCCCCATGGGCAGCCGCATTCTTTGATGTAGCACTTGCCCACCTCAGGCAATGTTGAGTTACCTCCTGCGCTTGTCGGGGCAACCGTCGGGGCCGTCGTCGGCGCAGGTGGGGACGTGGGGCCCACCGACGGACTCGTCGGCGCAGCACCACTCGACGAGTCGGCGCACCAGATGCCGTTGCAACTCTCCTCGCAGAAGTCCTGGCTGGCGGCGCAACCCTGGTTCACGGCGGTGCCCTCGTTGCACCAAGACTGCAAGAAACTACCAGGGCAACCGCAATCTTCAATGTCCGCCACCGTGCCCCAAGGCAAGCGCAGGCGTGGTAAAATGCCATGGGTTGTCTAGCGGGTTTCTCGAAAACTCTCAGCCCGGGTCGAAGAATCGATCTCGGCGCAGATCCATCGCTTCTATGACAAGGTCGAGCGTTTCATCCCTAGGGTCAATGGTTGCACGCCCGACTGCACAGTCGCATCATGAATGCATGATATTGGGCGAGCACGACTCAAACCGAACTCGCTGCACACGCATCAAAGCTCCCCGTGGACTCGCTTCAAAATGGCCCAACCTTTCGTCACATCCAGTTGCGTGCACCGCCTATCCCCCGAACACATAACTGATGCCACTCTGGGTGTGTGAGCGTTGTGATGCAATCATGCGGTGTGAGCTATGTGGTGCGAGCTATGCGGTGCAAGCTATTGGGTGCAAGCTATGTGGCGCAATCTGCGTGGTGCACTCTGTGTGTTGAAAACTGCGTGGTCCAAGCTATGAGGTGCAAGCTTTGTGAACTAAGCAATGTAGTACAACCTGGGTGCTGCAAGCTATGTGGAGCAAGCTAGGTGGTGCAATATGCGTGGTGCAAGCTATATGGTGTAAACTACGCGGTGTATGCGATGTGGTGCAAGCTCTGCGGTGCACCCTACGATGTGAATTCTACGTGGCGCAATCCACGTGATGCAAGCTGTGTGGTGCAAGCTGTGTGGTGCAATCTACGTGGTGTAAGCTATGTGGTAAGCTGTGTGGTGCCGGCGGACGGGAAGGGGACCGCCTGGCCAGAAGACAGGCCCAGTTCCTGTTCTAAGGTGAGCAAGGAACCTTCGGTGCAAGCACTGTTTGGGACACGATAGGTCCGCGCTCCCGAGGCCACGAGTCCTGACTTAACACTATGTCTGCGCGTTCCCGAGGACACGATGCGTTGTCAACAAAATAAACTAGAGGTCCGCCCCCCCGAGCTTCTTCCGAAATGGCCCCACGAGGGCCCCCAAGACCGCTCAAGAGGGTCAAAAGAGAGTCCCAAGTACGGTGAGGGCATTGGACAAATCCGCCGATCCGGCGTGTGAGTTTCTGAGAGCGTGGACTTGAGCTCGCTCAAGCTTCGCTCTGCAGGGGGGGGGTCCGACGTCATTTCCGACGTTTTTCGGTACCCGGGGACAGGGGGTATAGAAAACTCCACTTCCTGAGCCCCGACCGCCCAAGACACCCCAAGAGGAAGCCAAGAGAGGCCCCAGAGGCCCCCTAGACAATGCAAGAGGGCCCCGAATCGCCGAAACATCGCTCGAACCGCCCAAGATGCCACGAAGACAGTTCCAGAAACCTCCAAGACGTCCCCAAGTCTCACCCCCCCGGATCGGCGGCACTGGCCGGAGGCCAGCCCAATAACCACTGGACGAAGAATCCAGGGTCTGGAAGCAGGTAGAACTCCAATCGTGGAGTGGCCATGGATATCAGCGCCACCCTCATCAGACAAGGAGTCCTTCAGGGTCTCAAGCCCTCTGGGCACATTCCTTAACAAACGCCCCCAGCGCATGGGTCCGATCACACGAGCTTCCAAGATGGCCCCACGACGGCCCCAAAGACGGCCCCCAAGAGAGTCCCAAGTTAGGGAGCCCACAAAGGACGTACGCGCCCAGCTATGTACATGAACGCGGTCCCTTGAGACGCGAGACCGACCGCGTGATACGAACATTCGCGCAATGCGAACTCTCGAGACCAGCGTGGATTCATGTACGTGTACGTCCTTCTTTCGCTCCTGACAAGTACGGCCCGAAGAGGCCAACATCACATGGCGGGTTCCGGAAGCACTGCACCAACAAACCTTGCCCTCTCTTGGGGGGCCGCTCGGCCTCCGCCAGCCTTCCGCCGGCGGCGGCGGCCTCGCTTCACCTCCGCAGGCTTCCGCCGCCCGTCCGCCGCCCGTCCGCCGAGGAAGCGATGGCACTGTCTTCAGTCCTCGAAGACGAGGCTCCTTTTGAACAGCCCATCTGTTGCTGGGTTTCTGCAATATCTGAGCGTCTTCGCCTCTTTTGGGGCAGCCTTCGGCTCCAGACGGCCCTCGAGGCCTCCAAGATGGCCCCACGACGGCCCCAAAGGCCCCAACATCGCCACGTAATCCTCCGAGACGGCCTCAAGCCAGACCAAGAGGGCACCTAATTAGGACAACCCCAAATGAGCCTCGAGCTGGCACAAAAAGGGCTCTGGAGGGACCTCATCTGGTCTCAGAGAGCCCCCCGACGGCCCAGGGCGGCCCCACCCCACGACGGCGACACGATGCCCCCCCAACGCGGCCCAGAGGGCCCCAGAGACGGCCCAGTGGAGCCCCAAGACGGCCCAAGCACTAGCCCAAGGAACCCCCAGCGCGGCCCCACGGGAGCCCAAGAACGGATAATGGAGGATGACGATTAATAAATGACCGGGGGTCGTGTTCACGCGGCGGCGCCCGGGATGACGAGCAGAAAAACCAGCCGCGGGCTGGAAAACTATTTCTTTTAATCATTCTCCTCCAGTCAGAAAATTGTGCAGAAATGCCAGGGAACTATTGTTTTAATCGTTCTCTCAATTTTTTATTAATCGTCATCCCGCATTAGGAACACGGGAGGAGGACGGCGCCGAGCAGACCACCCCCCCGGCACGACGCGGAAGAGCGCACGCCGCGTGCGCGACGGCCCCTCCCGGCGCTCGGGACGCGGGGCGCCGCCCGCCGCGGCCTCCTGCGCGCCCCCTCCTCCTCCTCCTCCTCCTCCTCCTCCTCCTCCTCCTCCTCCTCCTCCTCTCCTCCTCCTCCTCGTCCTCCTCGTCCTCCTCGTCTCCTCGTCCTCCTCGTCCTCCTCGTCCTCCTCCTCCTCCTCCTCCTCCTCCTCCTCCTCCTCCTCCTCCTCCTCCTCCTCCTCCTCCTCCCCCCCCACACACCCCACGGCCTCCTGCGCCACGCCGGGTGGGCTGGCACGGCGTGGCGGCGCGCTCAAGGCGAAGGGGCCCTGGGACATACACAAATGAATACGCACAAATAAAAAGATGTCCCATATTTTCCCATATTTTCTGGATTTTCGTCTTCCCCCCCACTTCCCATATTTTCCCATATTTTCTTGGGAATCGACGATTAATTGTGTCTGCGTTTTTTCCTTACTGACAAGGGGGTGGAGAGAGGGGGCAGGGCTTCTTAGAGAAGGAGGCTGCTTCTTGGAGGCGCGCCTGCTAAGAAGCAGGGGTGCTTCGAAGAAGCCCTCCCCCCTCCCCCCGCCTCCCTCTGCGCGTGGCTGAACGGCGGCGGGACGTGCCGCAGGCAGCCCGATAGCACCTGCCCGCCTCGGGCGCCTCTGAGCCTCCCCCCGCGCCTGCTCCGGAGGTCGGAAAAGGGGCGTCGCGTAAAGGGTTAGGTCGGGCATGTCCCCCTTACAGGCGGATTCTGGACGAAAAGTAACGCGTACACGACAAAACGCCAGAAATGATCGAAAATATTCAAAACATCGCCCTCAGACTATTGTTTGACTATTTTTGAATTTTCCCCCTGTAGAGGGACGGACCCGACTCAAGTGACGGGGTGTGGTGCCAACCGCGGACATGGCGCTGTTGTCATCGACGGTGGATAGTATCGCCGAATCCGGCAGCGGCACCGCACCCCTCTGCACCACACCCCTCTCCTATACTAGACGAGCGCGTTCCACCATTCGCAGCATAGTCACTCGAAAATGGCCTGGACCCGCCACGGGGGATCTACGAGAAATGACATCGAAGCGCACATGTGATTTTCCGGCGTCTGCGAGTAGGCACCATGCGAATAGTGGAACACGCTCGGTGATATCCCCCCCGCGCCTGCGAAGGCACCCGTCGGAGCCAGCGTCGGCAAGGGGGCGGGGGCCGCGCCCCCCGCCGGACGCGTCGCGGCGGCACCGCTCGACGAGGCGCCGCACCAGACGCCGCCGCAGCTCTCCTCGCACAGGGCCCGGTCCGCGGCGCAGCCCTGTGGAGGGACTCGCTCCACCGAGCCCCATCCTCGATGGCGCTCCTGCTCGTCAACATGTGTCACGTGTGCGGAGCTACACTGTCAGCGTCGCCGTGGGGCAGGGCGGCCCTCTCGACGGCGGAAGGGTGCCTCGTAGAACTACACCCCCTTCGGCGGCAGAACCTGGGGGGGACAGGGCGGCCAGCGGGGCCAAGGCCACGCCAGTGAGGATGTCAACGAGCAGGGACACAGCAGAGTCTCTCGTCAACATGTGTCACGCGTGCGGAGGTACACTGTCAATGCCGCGCTCTCCTGTGGCGTTGCTGTGCTCATGCTCGCAACGCACACCGCCAGAGGCGGCGGAGAGCTCGAGCGGTCCACCTGCCCAAACTCCGTGGCCTTGACCCCGCTGGCCGCCCTGTCCCCCCAGGTTCTGCCGCCGAAGAGGGGTATAGTTATACGATGCACCCTTCCGCCGTCGAGAGGGCCGCCCTGCCCCACGGCGGCTGGAAGGCTGATCCCCCGCCGTGCCACCGCAAGCAAGGGGAGATATTTTTCCGGCCGCCCTGGGGCAGGCATCCCTGGCGGCGGACAAGCGTATGCTATACCGTTCTCCGTCTGCTGATGTAGACAAGCGCGCTCCACGACTCGCGAGAAATAACTACTCGCAAATGGCATTGATCCGCCATGGGGCATCTGCGATAAATTGCTTCGAGAGAGATATGTGTTCTCTTCCGGACGTGTGCGAGTATAGGCACTTTGCGAGTAGTGTGAGTCGCGCTCGGTGACAAGATGTGGGGGATCTCTGCCAGCTCTGCTGCTCCCTTCGGACTCCGCGGGGCCCGCCCCCACCTGGGGGAGGGGTGGGGTGGGTGGGTGATGGGCCTGTTTTCCACCACCACCACCACCACCACCATAAGTTGGAGGGGGAAAGGAGGAGGAGGAGGAGAAGGAGGAGGAGGAGGAAGAGGAGGAGGTGGAGGAAGAGGAGGAGGAGGAGGAGGAGGAGGAGGAGGAGGAGGAGGACCCTCTCCCCCTCCAACCTATGGTGGTGGTGGTGGTGGTGGTGGAACACGGGCCCATCCTTGGGGGGGCGGCGGGGCCGCGGCACCAGACGGCCCCGTGGGGCTGGGGATCGGTCGGACGCGGCCGACCTGGCTCACGGCGTTGCCCTCGCTGCACCAGGGCTGGAGGAAGTTCGGGTGTTGCTAGAAGTGCCCCTGGCACAAGGTGCCCCCAGCGTTTCGCTCCATTTTGAAGCCCCTGGGGCCCTCTGGGCCTCGTGAGGGGTGCTTTGGAGGCCGCTTGGGCTACCCCGAGACTCCTGGGGGCACCTTGGCCCAGGGGCACTTCTAGCAACACCCGAGAAGTTGTCGGGGCAGCCGCAGTCTCGGATGTAGCAGGCGGCCGCGCCCGAGGCCCCGGGCAGCGGCTGCCGGGCCCGCAGGCTGCCGCTCTGGCGGGCCAGGGCGCCCGCCGCGGAGCGGCCCACGTCGGCCGCGGCCTGCGACAGCGAGGCCGGCGCGGTCAGCGTTCGGTCTCCTTGGAGGGGCGCTGGGACACGCAAAGGAACAGGCACGGATCCCAGGATTCCCCGTCTGTTCTCACATGTTTCCTGGGTTTTCCTCTTACGCCCCCCCCTTGTCCAAGATCTTCCCACAGTTTTGTGTCTGCGGACGAAAACCCAACAAGGATATGAAAATTGCGTCTGTGGGGGAGATAGCGTCGTGGAGACGGTAATGGACTCTGGACGAATAAGACGACGCAGAAATCATGTTGCCTCCTGGGGGTCGACGACGAATTGTGTCTGCGTCTTCTGCCCCATCCTGCCTCCCGCCTGGCCAGGGGCCGTGCGCTGGTGGCCCAGGGCGCTCGGCGCCTGCAGCAGGGAGTGCTCCTGGCCAGGGCCGCGCGCTGCGGCGCACGCGTCCGCGGCCGCGTCGCGCGCTGCGGCCGCTGCCGCGAGGAGGGCGCAAGCGAGGGGGAGCGTGCGCATCATGATCGGCGCCCCCGGCGGTGCTTCGAGTCTCGCCGCGGATCGGCGGTGCGCTGTGAGGAGCTGCGGCCGGAGGCGGAAGCTTGAGGCCTCGAACAAAAAGGCTAACTGCGGACCGCAGGTCCCCGGCAGTGCCCCGTGTCCCCGGTTGGTCCCCCAACAAACATGCGCACCATGATCGGCGCCCCGGCTGTGCCTCTGAAGAAAATCCTGGAGGCCTCGCGCGGCAACTTGAGGCCCGATTTTTGCGTCTTGTCCACGTCGGATGTACGTCGGGTCGGGTTCACGTCGGACTACGCCGGACTTGCGTCGGTTTTACGTCGGACTGGCGCTGGACCATCGCCGCGCGAGCGTCAACCCATCGACGAGGGGACTAGACAATATAACTATTACGCGCCGCGCGAGGCCTCCAGGATTTTCCGCACAATTATGCTTCGAGTCTCGCAACGTATCGGCGGTACGCTGTGAGAAACTGCGGGCGGAGAAGAAAGCCTGAGGCCCCTAAAAAAAAGGCTGACTACGGACTGTGTCCTGGCATCCGACGCGCTGTGGAACAGACTAGGTGGTGCTGAAGCCACCATCTTGGAGCGGCATGCATCAAAAGAGAGACAGAGACCACCGCCGAGGAGAAACATCGGGAGTGTGGCGCCCCTTGGGCGACGGCACACCTGAGCTCCAACCCCTTCTAGACATGTGATGACTATACCCAGGACCGCTCAATACAAACGACCGTGCTGAAAGACCCGCAGTGCGCAAGAGCCGAGAAATCTAGGCTGGATGTGACTACTCCCCCACTCCGTTCGAACTCCCAGGAACCAACGAAAACAGCGCCTGTTGCGCAGTTCGCTGCCGGCCAGGGAACCGCGAGGTCTCGGCATGGATGTGCGTAGGAGGAGGAGGAGGAGGAGGAGGAGGAGGAGGAGGAGGAGGAGGAGGAGGAGGAGGAGGAGGGAGGAGGAGGAGGAGGAGGAGAAGGAGGAGGAGGAGGAGGACAACTGCGCAGTTCGCAGCCCCCGAGGGAGCCGCCAGGTCTCGGCTGTGGATGTGAGTGCTCCCCAGCTCCCCACGGTGTCTCTCGGGAGCCCACGAAAAAAAAGAGACGGCAGTCCGCAGCCGCCCCCAGGGAGCCGTGCGGTCTCGGCTGGATGTGCGTACACCTTGCGAAAAGCTTAAGAAATCATGGGTTAAGAAATTCATAGTCTCAGAATTTGATTACAAACCCAGAATTTCGACTGCAATCTTAGGATTTACATTGAAACAGTGAGAATAAGCAAGACTCTGGTCGAACACTTGGGTTTTCTTAAGCATCGCCTAGGGTGTACTCCCCCACCCCTCTGGGCCTCCCAGGAGCCCGCTAAGGCGTGGCGGTTGCGCACCAATTCGCAGCGGCTGAGGGAGCCGAGGGGTCTCGGCTGGATGAGCGTACTCCCCCACGCCGCTGGCCTCCCAGGAACCCACGAACGTGGCGACAGATGCGCAGTTCGCAGTCCCCCAAGGAGCTGTGATGTCTTGGCTGGATGTGCGTCATCCCCTGCTCTGCCGTGCTTCCCAGGAGCCCACGAAAGTAGAGACACTTACGCAGTGCGCAGTCCCCCAGTCAGAAAGGTACAGGGAAGGTAGACGACAAGTACGCAGGAGGCAAGCGGAGGGAAGAGGATGCAAGTGGAGGGGGGGGGTGAGGAAGACGTGCGAGCATTGCTCTGTTCAAAGCGGGAGCCCAACACATGTCGGATGTCTGGCAAGGAACCCTGGGATGACCCTCCCCTAGGATGGTCATTCGGACTGCGCTACAATCGCCAGCCACCATTCGGCGCAGGTGCACTCTCACGTTCACGTCACGTACTCCTTCCCGTGCTTGTCACAGCCAGCATTGGACTAAGAACAACTGTGCAAGCATGAATATTCGAAGCTCGGCGCGGATCTCTCGAGTGGGAGCTGGACTCCCCCCCCCACGCCTCCGAGGGAGCCTGTGAAGCCGCTCCTCGCGCGCTCCCCTCGCCAGGGAAAGGGTGTGGATAACGGGGTTCAGACCTCCCATCATCTGCTTGTCTCCTACTTTCTTTCCTCATCCTTCCTTCCCCTCCCCTCTCCATAGTTCATTTTTTCCCAGCTCGAGCTCATCTCGAAAAGATAAGGTCAAACATAACGGCGATGGAAGTCATGATGATTACGAGGGTCACAGAGGTACAAGTCAATGTAGCGCGAAGCCCACAGGTCACGCGACAGTCGGTCCCAAAGCTCCGCCCAAACAAAACACACGGGCCTGGATACCCAAAGGAATGCGCACGACAGGGTCCATAGCCGTCCAGCACGCAGCGCTACGCGAACACATGATCATTTTCTGTATCAGGGGTCGGCGGGTGCGGCGTCAGCCGGGCGATCG